CTTGTATAATAAAATAAAGACCAAGAACGAAATGAAGAAACTGACGAATGTGTAAACTTTATACCTTCTAAAAGACAAGTACTTTGACTTTTTTTGACTATTATTAATTGGGTAGAGTGATGCACATTTTACAAACAAATAAGCCGGAAACGGTTTGTCGTATAGCGCTATTGCTAAAAGAATCCAAGGAGTAAAAGTCACATTGTAAAATTGATTTAACAATGGATGGTACACGCTCGATCCAGATGCTCCCGTTGCTATGCTAAGATAGAAGTTAGCAAAAGCGAAAATGAAACTTTTGAAAAAGCTCAAGTAGGTTAGATCAATATTTTTGCGATGAAATTGATGTCCATAATAAAGTAAGAGTTTTCTCAAATAGCAGAAATTTGGTATCGAAACATCGCTAATTCTAGCCGCTTGAGAACCATCTAACGACTGTATTCCCACTCCAACATCTGCCTGAACAATCATACTTGCATCGTTTGCGCCGTCTCCCACCGCTAAACTCGTTAAATTCGGTTCCGGACAATACTTTTTACACTTCTCGATTAACTTGGCTTTTTGAATCGGCGTGAGACGACAAGCTATGACAGATTTGGCTAGATAGGCCAATCCAAAAAAAAATTTAGTCGCTTCTTCGTCAGACAGAATGGCAGACAAACTGTCGCCGTTAATTGTAATTGATATCGAGGTATACTGCTCGACAACGTTGTTAATTTGCTCGAAACTACCCGTGGTATTACTTTTGGAAGACAAAGAATCAGGAGTGTTTATTTCAGAATCTTGTTGATCCATAATCATACTAATCTTCTGTTTAAGTGTCTCTTTAGAATTAGTTTTACACAATGCGGACGAGAATAAATGAGACGAGTTTTTACTTTTCTCACGAGAGGAACTATTAAAATAACTTGTATACACGTTTATCAGGTAATTTATTTCTTCTTTCTTCAGCTTGTGCTGCTGAATTTTGCCATTTATTGGAGCATTTACCAAAATATTCTCGGGAATGTTCGCTAAAATTTGCAAAAAATCATTTGAAGACATGTACCTGATTCTTTTATTTTCAGTAGAAACAATTTTGACTTGATCGTCAAACTCACTTTTGGAAGAAAATAATTTTGAGCCTTCACCGTATTCTAACTTTGACTTTGCCTTTCTAAGTTTGTTTGCCCTTTGGCAAACGAAATTTTTTGTCTTAACGTCATTTGATTCACCCGAGGTGGTTTTTTTTAATTCGGCCAGCTTATCAAGGTTCAAAAATGTCTCATCTTCATCCTTTAAAAAAGCAATAGAGGCTAGCTGACCAGCAATAATAAATGCCATCGTTTCTTCCATTGTTTTTCTAAGTTCGTCCAAAGACGAGTCTACTAACATGATATTATTCGTTGTCGGCTTGATGATACTCGAACTTCTTGCAATTGCTAAAGCGGTATCTACTTTATCACCTGTTAACACCCAGAATTTTATGCCTGCATTTTGAAAACTTTGAATAACTTCAGGAACATCTTCGTGCAGTTTGTCATCAATACCGGTGCATCCTACATATTCTAGAGATTTTTCTAATGAAGAATAAATAGACTGGATATAATCTTCCACACCATTTGAAAACTTTGCTTCCATCAATTTCTTTTGGAACTGATTAAGTTCTTCACTAGATATAATCCGATAAGCAAGAACTAAAGTCCTTAAACCTCGAGAAGCTAAGTCACTGAGGTATTTCTTAGCTTTAGCTTTTTTTTGATGGCTGCTTTTTTCCGTCAAATTAGACAATATTGCCGAATCCGCACCTTTAGTTAGCAACACGGTGTTCATTTGATTGTCGACAGTTATAATACTCATGCATTTTCTGAAACTATCAAACTCTAATATTTCTATTACTGGAAACAACAGTGTAGGAAATATAGTAGAATCGTTATACTCCGCTTCTTTAGATTGAACATAGTCGAGTTGCTCGTAATCTAAAAATATTGGCAATAAGTTTTTGCACAAAATACAAATTTCAATTGTGTTTAAATTTGGTCTGTCGATAAACTCAATTCCAAAGTGTTTCGCCGCAGCGATTATTGCCAGCTCGTCAGCGGAACTTGCGTCATGGTCTATTTCATTTGTATATTCCGCTTTAACAAAACCAATTTGAATTCCAAATTTTTTTGGATTTATATTTACAGGCTCTTCTGTACGAATGAAATTGTTTTTTTTTTTTGGCAGTAGTGTATGACAAAGCGCTACTATCATTAAAAATCTTTTGAACACTTCTTTATTAATTTTGTTTTTCATATACAAAGCTCTAATGTAACTAGCATCAAAGTTAACGTATACATTGGGGTTTGTACGAATTTTTTCAACGTTGATTTGAGAGTGAAAAGCACTTTTTTGCTGTAAAATATAAAATTTTCGCTCTAAATTCAAGAGATATTTCAGACTCGTAAATGACTCGCGACCATCTGTCTTGTTATTGTCTGGAAACGCATTATCACTAAATCTATTATCCTTAACCGAACTGAATAGTTGATCTAGTTCGCTAGTTGAATCAAACCTTGGATCGTTCACGTAAAAAAAATCGTCGAGAACGATTCCCTGCAGCTGCATAATGTTTTTTGTAAGTGTTCCAGTTTTATCTGAGAATATATGTGTAATATTCCCCAAATATTCGACGATTGATAAATTTTTTATTTCAATGTCTTTCATTTCCTCATCATTTTTTAAATGTCGGTGTTGGCACGCTCTCAAAATTTCAATTTCAACCACAATCGATATTGGTGTCATAGTACTGAGCGAAACTAGATGTCGTAAAAAGGAGTATCCAAACGCTACCGCGTATCCAGTATAAGAATCTCGTAGTTCAATAAGCGACCCAGTGTTTAAATACCAAGCATGAGTAAAGGTACTAATTATGAAATAAACATACATAGACGCTGCAAGCGTGCATAAAAGAATCTCTAGCACAATTGAAAATCTGATACACTTGCCAATCAACAAAGTTAATAAAGATTTCTTATATCTAGCCTTATAAGTATTCTGAAAAATCTTAGTTTTGTTTCCAGTATAAACTACTAAGCCGATTGCTTTTTCTGTTGCAACTATTTTGGTCCCTCTAGGAATAAAATTATTGAAGTCGACTCGATAAGACTTGACTGCTTTTTTTGCCCATTCCAAGTAAGGTTCACCATTAAATTTTTTTTTATTAGACCTGCGATCTTTAATATATTGAATAGGTTTGTACCAGCGTTTAGCGCGAAAATTTTTTGTATTGTAAACTATGTCAGCGTTAGAACTACGTATTTGTAAAAATCCATTATTATCCAAAGCATCCACGCCATTTTTTTGCGCTGAAGAATTATTGTCCACTAAGGGAGTAATACTTATGCGTGCTCGAAAACTAGATATAACACTGCTAACAACTGAATAAACACATCTAATGTCGTAGTTAGCAATCAAATTATTAGAAAAGTCTGGTATACAAGACTTTACTTTAATATTAGATTCGCCATCAAGTTGTACTGTGTTTATATATACTGCATTACTGGGTTCTGAAGAAATCAAGAGCACAATGTCGGCCGGAACTTCTTGGTCTTGATGCAAACAAATAATGTCGCCAGGTTTTAGTTTCCAATTTTCAATCAACATCCATTCTCTTCGATTTGAGCACAGCTTGTATATCAATTTTTGATTTTCAATCTTATCCATTCTGTGTCTTTTGATTTCTTCCCATGCTTCTCGTATCACAGAAAGTAATACGACAAACATAAGAGGAATGAAATTTAATACTTGGTAGTTGGTTTGTTGCAGTATGGGAAACAACTGGATGAAGTTAAAAAACAAAAAAATGACGTTTAGTTCTGTTTTTAAACTTAACAATATCAAAATGAAAAACATATTCCAGTATTTGAATTTTGCAGTAGTTATTTTATTATTCCATGAATGTAATTTAGCCTGCACATTACCAACGGTATAAGGTTGTACATTATGTAAAGCATAGATTAATAAATAATCTGGATTTCTGACTTCTTCTTCTAACATATTATGAGCTTCTTCGTCTTCTCTCTTTTGACAATTGTTTAGATAATTAACCATTTCTGGGTTGAATGTACAGACAGAAGAAGAATTAAATTCTTCATTTTCATTAAATATAAAATCAAAACTTTCAGAGGATCGAATCAGATTGTTGTTAACATAAACACAAGGCATTGTAATAGTTTCTACATCCAACGCTTCATCTTGAATGCTACCCACATTACTCAAACTCGCCTTCCGATCTGATAAATCAGTTTCTAGAAAGCTCATAAACTAATCATATGTAATACGCAAGAAATCTAATATTAAAAAGTGTGATAAATTTTTATAACGAGTGTTTGTGACGTCATTAATGTTCTAAAAAAGCACCATTATTTTTATAAATATATGAAAAGTAATAAATCCAGAAATAATGATTACAAAAACTTGGTGTCTAAATACTGTATAATCGAACTAAATGCTCCGTTTATTTTATAGAAAACTTACGAGTTTTCCGTAAACTTATTTTTTTATGAATAGTTATTCTCGCAGAAGTGTGGAAGCAAACCAAAGTGTTGGCTTAAATCATATTGTTTTTAAATATGTGTCACCAAACGGATGTAGTGGTGATCAATATCCGAAACGTCGCAATATTTTATTAAATTTTGACGTCATAAATTTAAAAAACAGAAAAATAGCATTTCATCAAAAACAGTTGCTGAACCTGAAAAACAAAACTATAAATCAAAGTATCAACATTGAATTAGTTTTGTTAGAAATTAATAAACTAAAAAACTCACAAATCATAGCATGTTGTAACAAAAATAACGAACTCGGCTTTGTTGTCCTTCACGATGATATAATTAAAAAAATATTAAAAAAAAACTGTCAGTTTGCAAAAATTATATGTTTTCAATACAACATTAGCCAGCTTAACCACATGAAAAATCAATATGTAGTTTGGAGTTTGATTCAGGAATTAGTAGAACAATCAAGCTAAATTTAAAATGCGAACAGAAGAAGAGACCGGGTTAGAGCTGTTTGAAAAACAAATTCTTGCCGACATAGACGAAAGTTATTTATCAATAATTAAACAAAAGGTAATCGAACTCTCAGACAACAGTCCAATAAAATTGTTGTACAATGAACTGAAACAAAAAAAAAAAATATTTCCGCCGGTTGATAAGGTGTTTCAAGCTTTAAGACTGACTAAGTTCAATGATGTCAAAGTAATAATTGTAGGTCAAGACCCATATCATGATGAAAACCAGGCCAATGGTTTGGCGTTTAGTGTTAATAACGGAACGTGCAAATTCCCTCCCTCACTCAAAAGAATTTTGAGAGAAGCACGTGTGACCGATTTAAATAACGGCGATCTTACGAATTGGGCAAAACAAGGAGTTCTACTTTTAAATTCCGTATTAACTGTTCAAGCACACAAAGCTTTTTCTCATCATTTCATAAATTGGGAAAGTATCACAAACGGCATAATCTATAGCCTAAGTAAAGACACCAATGATCGAAGTTTGGTGTTTTTATTATGGGGCGCGAAAGCTCAAGAAAAGAAAAAATTTATAGATACAAGAAAACATTACATTGTGCTTAACTCCCACCCAAGCCCACTCTGCACGAAAGGCGATTTTATTGGGAGTAAATGTTTTCAAAAAGCGAACGACTTTTTGATTGCGCAAGGATTAAAACCTATAGACTGGAATAATTCTAGCATTAGTGCCAATAATAATCTTTTTAATAAGCAATCAAGTGAGCAGGCCGCTTTGTATTGCAAAAAAGATAATTTGGATCAGGTTAACACTAATGATTCAGAAGTAAATGAAAATACGGTCATTTTGAAGTTAAACACTCCAGATTATTTAACGGCTGTGCTAAATCCGCTAGCGTTTCCCGTTAAAAAACTAGTAAAACGTAGATTTAACGCATGTGTTACTTTTAAATAATAATAAATAATTTATTACTTTTTATTTTATGTTGATAAAATAGCTTGAGGTTATTAGAAATTTAGCTATACAAAAAATGGACGTTCAAGTGAAGTTTGAACGACCAAATGTAGTTTACGACAAGGTTGACGTCCGATTTAAAAAGTATCAGCGTCTTTTTAGTATTACAGATGACGAGTTGATCAATTATTTCCGAAACTTCGTTAGGGACGCAACATCAGCTGTGGTTGAGCCCAACAGCTCTAAAGGTCTGCAATACTACGACACGTTCATTTTATCTTCAAGTAAAGGAAATGAACGAGGTACTTTTTACATTATCACATTTGATTCGTCAGGGTTAGAAGTAAGCAAGGTACACCTAAAAGGACGAAGACAGTACTCGTTGAAAAACCATGTTTTTTCAATTGAAGAATTCAACGAACGCCTTCCTTATTCCAACGGAATTAAAGACGCGCAGGTAACTGCAACGGAGTTTTTTGACTGCATTGCTATGTTTGTGAGGGAATTTATGATAGAATGTGGTGATTTAAATTTAGATTCGGAAACTGCAGAAGAGCGCTCATTTTCTTGTGGTGTCAGTTTTGGGTTTGCTTTGGAGAAATATGACCTTGAAACAGGTACATTGATAGATTGGTCTAAAGGTTTTGAAACAGGGCGCACTACAAACGATCCAGTGGAGCGATCTGCCGACATAACCGAGTTTTTGATTGCAGCATTTGAAAGAAAACAAATACCACTGGAAATTTCGACGTTGACAAATGACACGCCTTCGGTACTTATGTCCAGCAACTACTGCAATGACAGCAAGTCGCCAAGATGTACAATAGGAGTTTCATTAAGTGACGGAATTAACTTGTGCTACGTTGAACGCGCCAGTAAGAGACACGGTTACACAGGTTTTGTGTTAGTGACAGAATGTGGGTCTTACACAGCTTTCAAGCGTAACATTATTGATTTGCAAATTGATTGTTTCGACAGCAACAAAGGTAAACAGCTTGCTGAAAAAATGATAGCAGGGTTGTACATTCCGGAATTGTGTAGACGAACATTACTCCGCATTTTCCGCGCAGACAGTCCAGAATTGCTTTGGTCGTTTGGTGTCTTAACTCTTGAGGCATGTTGTGCGGTAGCATACGACGAAAGTCCGAATTTTGAGCAGGCGCAACAAATGACTGCCATTATGCTTGACAAAAAAATAACCGATTTAGAATCATTAAAAATCATTCGAGACATTTTCAGAGTGATACTCACGCGTTCAGCTAAGCTGTTTTCAGTTATAATCGCCGGATACGCCAGCATGTCTGGTAAGCTACAGCCAGCCGTTGGTGGCGTTACAATAGGTATTTGCGGAGAACTATTTGCAAATCACCCCGAATATCAAGCAGAAGTCAAGAGAAACCTTGTCACGTTGCTCGGACCAGTAATCAGCAACCTAGTTCATTTCCACGTTCAGCCAAACGCAACTACAATAGGAACGGCCGTACTCGTGGCCAACGCACAATCGCTAGGCAGTTTCAGATCTTATTCGTTCTTTTAAGACCTATAAACTTGTGTTTATAACCTTTAATAAATATTTGAAAATCTTAGTTTTATAATGGTATATATCGTTTTAAAATCAATAAACGTCTAGATGCCGATCAAGAAGCTTATTTGAGTCTTAATAAATTTCTCACTGGCTACTCAAATAAATAGTTCGAAAGGTGCGCCGTTGGAAAAATTATATCACCTTTATGAATAAAAACGCAGCACTAATTCAAGATACTGAGTTGATTTGGGTTATTGAAGAAATTGAAACAATTTTGCATCTCAAAGAAGAAGAAAAAATTCATATAATCAATGTATTGTTCTCTAACTTCATCAGGACATTTGTAAATTTGGAGAGATTTCTTAAAAGCGACAACACAGGTATTTTGCATCCAGTTATTATCAACGCTTTACGCCTAGCTGTCAACGATCGGAATGCGTTTTTAGACGCCCAATGCCGCGACGATTTGGTCATTTCAGTGGCCAACCCCAAGACGTTTTTGCATGGCGCTGTTTTCGTTCACAGACTCGTTTTAGGCAACGACCAAACAAGCGCTTTTATAGTGCAAACCGTTTGTCTAGACGTGACAGATAAAATGCCTGTCAAGGAACTGTTTAAGCTTTTGTCGATCCACTTCAATATAGAGCCACACTTGCTGCAAGTATTTACAGAGAACATGCTGGAGAACAAACTTGGCCTGATTAATGCAATTAACAAAGATGAAGAGTTTATATTTCAGCAATGGAAAAACTCTCTAGTGATCCTTTCCAACCAAACATACTGTAAGTAACTGCGCACGCACAACAATAATTTTTGTAGACAACGACTATAAAGTCAGGACGCTCGATAGTTTAGGCATTCACGCAGGAAGCGAAATTTTCGTGATACCTGGATATATCAACGACACTACGGGTTTGAAACTAGCTATCGCACTCACATCAAGTTTGAAAATGAAAGACTCCAGTATTTTCATTCGAGTACCGCTTCCAGAAGAAATTGTTAAAAAAATTAATAATTTCACAGCTAATGACTACGCACCTGAACAAATATATGACGAAACAAATGACGATGTCTTGATTGAATCCCCTAAATCTAGAAAAAGCGAGTTAGCTCAAAGACTCGCCGAAGATCAGTTTTCACAAAAACTGGTAAATTCGTCTTATAACTCAGATTTCTAAGGACCTGTAAATGCACGTTTCAACCAAGGAAAAAATAAAAACTATAATTATCCTATTTGATATTATAACACTGTTTTTCTCTGATCTGCATACAAATTATATTATATACGCTAATTCTTTTATCTCGTTATTTAGTCTCGTGAAACCAAAATATATTTCCCCGTCAAAAATTTAATTTTTTTTCATGTCAGGAGTATGTTTTTGCTAGTTACTCTAAAATATGAGTCTTCAATATCTTGTGAATTTGCAGCCGCCAATGTCGAAGAATTGTTGACTTACCTTAAACACCAAGCTGAAATTAAATTTATCGACCGTGTAATTAATGAAATTGGACTTGTTGTTAATGTTTTGGACCTTCACATCAAAGAAACTCTGCCGATTCAAAGTTCCAATGACGGACGGCCGTGGTTTAGACAGGAAGCCGATCTCATCGTATTTAAGCCGTCGGTCAATTCCATTCTAACCGTCATCATAGATTCTTGTGATCGTACGGGCATAAACCTGCGAATTGCGAATTTCAAAAACATTAAAGTGCCTATTGAGTTTTTGCCAGCAAACACTCAATACAACGACGAATACGAAAATTTCATCTGGAACTACGATTCAAAGACGCATTTAATTTATGAAAAAAATCTGATTTGCAGAGTTAAGGTAATCGATGTTATTTTCAATAATGATAATACCGAAACCAAAACAAACTTTGCTCCCATGTCAATCTTAGTAAGTTTTTCTATTCTGAATATTCTTAGGGTTCATTCGACGATTCGGGATTAGGATGCATCGATTGGTGGTGATTTTAGTGCACAATTTCAAATAATACGTTATTTCCCTCTATTTATCACGAAAAATTCTTCACTAATTTTGTTTTCTTCTGGCTTCTTCACGTTTGAATGGGCAAACGTCGATTTAATTAAATTGGCCAACTCTACATCTGTTAAATTGGAATTCTTGGCTTTCAAACAATCCGTGGTGACATGGCCCATATCGCCGCAGAATCCACAAACGAGCTCAACCTTTTTGTACGAAACAATATTGAGATTCGGACAAATGAAACTGTAATGCCCAAGTTCTCCACATGCTGTACACCGGGCAGTGCTCTTGTTTATGGCCATTCCAGAAGTGGTGTTTATTAATTGGTCAGTGTTTGAAGAAAGCGAAATCAGTTGCTTCAAACCTTTTTGTTTGTATTCGTTATGTATAGGGTGAGTTGGATCCAGCAATGGGTCTAGTAGCTCAACAGCTTTATCTACTTTTTCAATAGTGTCCGCAGTTATATGAATGTGCAGAGGCATTTCAGCCTCTAATAACGACTGAATATCAGCTTTCCGCAAATCACATTGACTTCCCGCGCCTCTAATGCTAATTTGCGCGCCAGACTCGAGCTCTAAACGCTTGTGATTACAACCTTTCGGCCCAATCAACAGCCCCATGAAATTATAATCCGGATATTCGTCTACAGGAATGATAATTCGGCGTACTCGCCGCTGGTTTCTTAGTTCTAAGCACGAAGCCAGAACCACATTCTTGAATTCCAGTTGGTTCACAACTCGTAGCTGTTCATCCAACCTGTGTTGCCTCAATAGGGTTTCATTCTTCGTGTACTCTGAACTGTTTGTTTTCAGATTCTTATAAGAAAACTTGGAGTCGCACAAAATCGAATCCATCGGATCGTTAAACGCCAATTCTTGATTTATTTCATCAAGTCTCATTTGTAACATCATTATATCGACTGATTTTTTATCAAATATTTTAGGAACGTCCGCTATTACAACCGGAACGTATTGGTCCCTATGCGTTATACTTGTGTTATGCTCGTTTATCGTTTCATATTGCTGTGAAGATTCCCACCGTGTCTGCAGTAAAGAAGCTTTTTTTATTCGCTCAAAAGGTACACATTCATTTGCGATTGAATATTTACTCATTTCTAATTACTTCACAAATAAATTTTAAAAACATTCATTAATGATCTTTCTCAGCCCAAATACAATATACTAAATAGTTATAACGTAACTTAAAATCAAACGGTTGAGCTTTGCAGCTAGTCTAATAATTATTACACCAAATTAATTATGCTCTAATTATAAGATAGAATTTCTTTCGCGAAAAAAAATTGCGATTAGCTATTGCACGTAAATTATTTTATCATATAATAAAGATTTGACTTGCTCAGACGAACGTAACCAGTCAGAAAACCTTGTAGTTACTAATACAAAAACTTTCTCTTGCGTAGTATCGTCTGCGTTTTTCAGCATTTTAAATATTTTTTCCAAGACTTGTTGACCTTTTCTCCGCGATTT